GGGGGGGAAATTAATTTAATGCTATTTTTCTATTTCTATAAATAAAAATCTTCTCTAGTAAAATAGATCCAATTATCTGACCTGTTTTTCCTGCTAATATATATATTTTTATTTTATTTCATTTTTTTCTGGCTAGTACACTGCTTTCAGAAATTCAGTCACTAACAGACTTGATTCTTTTTCACTCTGTATGGAATATGTTTTTTTTCTATAATTAACAGGAAAAAGTGTTCACGATTTCAGTTCCCCACATTCAGAGATCAGTCATTGCTAGACACATCATTCTTAAAAATTCAATAGATTCTGTGAAAAGAAGGGTTGGAGGTGACAGGGATTTGACTCTTGCTCTCTTCACAGTACAGCCCAGACAACGTGGCCGGAGCAGACGGAGACATTGACCCCACTGAAATCACCTTTCCAGGATGCTCTTGTCTGACCAGCTCCTGTGTGGTTCCCGACTGCTCGTGTCTTTGCCGTGGTGCTAATTACCAGGGTTTGTGCCTCAGGACTACAGCTGAGGAAGAGGAGGAGTATGCCAGGCCTGTTTTTGAGTGCAACACCATGTGCCAGTGTGGGGAATCCTGTCAGAACAGGGTTGTTCAGAGGGGTTTGCAATTCAGACTCGAGGTATTCAAGACTGAGAAGAAAGGGTGGGGTCTTCGCACTCTGGAATTCATAGCTAAAGGAAGGTTTGTTTGTGAATATGCTGGGGAAGTTTTAGGCTTTAATGAGGCACGTAGAAGAATTCAGGCCCAGACACCAAAGGATTCAAACTACCTCATAGCGGTGAGGGAGCATCTCCACAGCGGGCAGGTAATGGAGACGTTCGTTGACCCGACGTACGTTGGTAACGTAGGCAGGTTCCTGAACCATTCTTGTGAACCAAACTTATTTATGGTGCCAGTTCGAGTTGACTCAATGGTGCCTAAACTGGCACTTTTTGCAGCCACTGATATTTCTGCTGGAGAAGAACTTTCATATGATTATTCTGGAAGATTCCACAATTTACCAAAAACTAAGAGAGAACAAACGTCTTTAGAGGAAGATAACAGATTGAGAAAACCCTGCTACTGTGGTTCCCACACATGTGCTTCCTTCTTACCTTGGGACAGCTCCCTCTTTTCCACACCAGAGGCTTCTGCAGGGAGCTCTCCGTAGCTTTTCAGGCCCTAAGGGTACCTAAAAAATAGCATTTTCTCTAGTAGCTAAATTGCAGTTAAATAAAACTCAGATTCTGTATTCCACCAAGGAAGAACGTCTGGTTTTGACAAGATTTTGAGAATAACTTCATGCAGCATCCTAGAGACTATTTTCAAGGTGGACGGTATGAAGGAGCACTGGAGCTTCAAGATGTTCCAATTTCAGGTACTAAGCCAGGCTTAGTGGTTTTTTTCTGACAGCTTGCTGTATGTCAAAGCTCCTCTCCATTTGTACCTCTCAAAGAATGGACTTTAACCCTGGTACCCAGAAAGGACATGTGGTAACAGTGAGAAACAGCACTCAAAATTGCACAAGAGAATGAGACCAAGGAATGTTGACATTTGCAAGAAGGCCATTAGGTTTCTTAAATCCCATTAAAATAAATTATTTTTTTAAAATTAGTCGCTGTTATTTTTTTGTTGTTCCACAAAACATTAGTTATTATTAATGTAAAATACCTGCCCAGAAAGATGAGCTTGAATGCTTCATGTCCCCTCCTTTTCCATCTCCCATCCCCTCTAGCTGCATGCCAAACTCTGGTTTAAGTGACTCGTTCAGTTCCATTACCATTTAATTTCCGTGTGAGTACTGCAGGCTCTGAGAACAACAAGCATCCCATCTTTTTAAATCACATTTATCTCAAAGCTCATCTGCTGAGATTTTCTTTGTTAATAAAACAACTTTAATTTGGACCTGAAAGATTAACCTGATGCTGACAAGGAATAAAGGACATTTTGCCGCTATTATTTTGCTATTTGCTAAACAAAATCTTTGTGTTTACCTGCAATTCTTTGATAAGCTTCAGTGTTAGCTTCTCCCCGTTTAAAAATGTATCTTTGTGCTTCTATTACAAAGAGCTGCTGTTGAGATTTACATGTGGCTGTGGTTTCAGTTTAAGATTACCATGTGGTTTTCTTTAGGGTTAATCATCGAGTGTCACTGCTGTCAGTACAGAAGGAGCTGCTTGTAAGGAGGAGTTTACAAGTGGAGTGGCCGTTACCTTGCCTGGTAATGAGAAGTCCTGCAGGTGCTGTAACTCAGAACACATGCTGCGCTAGATACCAGAGCACAGCTTAGGTTACAAGTTCTCTTGTCCTATTTAGAGGCTTATCTGGTTTTCTTCCCCCAAAGGGCACTGCGCCAGCCACCTTCAGCCTGCGGGGCTGGGAGTGGATGATCCAATCAGCTTCCTCTTTCCCAGCTTACTCTTTCACTCCTGGAAAAAGATTCAGGACGAGTTTTATACCATCTGTATTCCTATTCCTCAGGATTAGATGGGTTTTCAAGATGACAGCAGTTTGCTGCCTTCCTGTTATGAATATGTACTTGGCCTGATTTTGAGTAGTTAAGAAGGTGTAGATTAGAAAAAAAAACAACAAAACAAGCCAAAAACCAAACACAAACCCCCAAATACCATGAGTGATATCTAGTCCTGGCATCACCAGCGTTAAACCAGAGAACACAGCTGAGCCTTCTGTCTGTGCAATCCTGCCCTTTCAGTCCCAGCAGGAACACTGAGTGTCAGTTACCTGCTCAGAACAGACTTCCACAGCACACAACCAGAGCCCGTTGTGCTGCTGAGAACACCCAGCCACATCACAGACCTCACAAGAACATGAAATAACGTTGTCACCGAGTTCTAACCCGCCGTGGCCATTGTTGATGGCCTTTTTCCATAGAGGATGTGCTTTATGCTCCGCTGTACCTTGGCTCTACAGCTGCCTGGGGGGGTGGAGCAAAATCCTGCTAAAAAGAAAAAAAAAATCCTCTTACAAGTGATTAAAAAAAAGTAAACAGACCCTTGTTTCTACCTGCTGCCTTGCTGCTCGCTTTGCACTTCAGGTTCTTCTCAGCTTCAGCAAATCCCAGTCTCCACTTCACAGGTCAGTGTGCTCTTTCCCAATGAATCCAGTCAAACAGCTGAAAAGACTGAGCTCTGTGTAATCCTCAAAGTGCTGGAATGATTATCAATAGCTCAGTATTCAATACTCGAGCTTGGAGATTTACTTTCCCATTGAAATTTGATCAACTTAATTCAAGGATGTTCAATGAAAGATCTTGTAATAAAATACAATAACCATTATCCAGACAGATAAAGCAGCGTGACTGGGACACGTTCCACCATCTCACCAGAAGACCAGGAAGACTTTCCTCCACGTGCCACCCACAGCACAGTGAGTATCAACTGACACACACCTGATGGTGTGGCATCATGAAGCTGTTTATTTTAATTAAGTTAGAAGAACTTTCCAATCTATGGAATTCTGAATGCATTTTGGTCAAGGATTTTTTCCAGAATAAAAAGAAAAAAAACAAAACCAGCTCTAGGCAAAATCTTTTATAAAGTAGAAAGAAGGATAGAAATAAAGATAGAAAGAATC